TCAGGTTAACAAATCATAGGCGTGCAGTATATGGCAAGTGGCAATATTTGGTTTTTTCCTTCCAATTTTACAAGTAATTAGTACTCATAAAATGCTGAGTACAGAAAAGTAGAAAAATGCAGAAAGCAAGTCTCTTATAATCTCACCATCCAGAATAAAGCATAAGATAATAGTTTTGTAAGAGTGCCTTTGTTCATACATAGACATTTTTTGGTTTATTATTTACTCCTAATATGATAAATCAGGTGTTTGGGAAGATTCAGACCATAATAATAGATTATTCAGAACTTGAAGAACACATGTCTCCAGATGGGTACTTGGTCGAATATACGCTAAAATAAATGTTTGTCACTGTACTTTAATACTATGCACTTAAGCCTTTCATATATTTAGGCCTAAAGCAGTTTTCTTAGCAGTTTTTACTGTCCTCCTGAATTTACAATGTTTGCTTGGAAGTTTAATTTCTTAACTACTTTCTTTAAATAGCTTTATTGAGATATAATTCACATACCATACAATTCACCAATATAAATAGTACAATTCAGTGGTTTTTAGTTTCGTATATCCACAGAGTTGAGCCACCATCATCAAATCAATTTTAGAACATTTTCATCCCCCCCAGAAAGAAACCCCATACTCATTAACAGTCTGTCTTAATCATCACGGGCTGCTATAACAAAATACCATGAACTGGGTGGCTTATATGCAACAGAAATCTATTCTTCACAGTTCTGGAAGCTAGGAAGTCCAAAATTACAGTTGTTATCTGATGAGGGTTCGTTTCTTCATTCCTAGATGGCCATCATCTTGCTGTGTCTTCACATGGCAAAAGGGGCAAGGGAGCCCTCTGGGGTCTCTTTTATAAGGACACTAATCCCATTCATGATCTAATCACCTCCCAAAGATCTCACCTCCTAATGCCATCACCTTGGGTGTTAAGATCTCAACATCGGAATTTTTCAAGAGCACAGACATTCAATCTGTTATACAGTCACTTCCCCGCAAATCCCCTAGTCCTACCTAGGCAACCACTAATCCACTTTCTACCTCTATAAATTTGCCTAGTCCGTGTTAATGGAATCATATAATGTGTGGTCTTTTGTGACTAGCTTCTTTTACTGAGCATAATGGTTTCAAGGGTCATTCATGTTGTATCAGCACTTCATCCTTTTTATAAGTAAATGATACTCCATTGTATGGCTATACCACACTCTGTTTATCCATTTATCAGTTGATGGACATTTGGATTATTAACACTTTTTGTCTATTATGAATAATACTGCTGTGAACATTCAGGTACAAGTTTTCATGTGGACATATGTTTTCAATTTTCTTGAGTATATGCCTAGGTAAGCTCAACTACCTTTTTTCTGTAGTATTCATTCTCAAACTTCAGTGAAATGTTTTATATAATTTTATGATAAAGGAACATGTTTAAAACTGAATTAATCATCTTCTAATCTCCTCTCCTTCTCACCCCCACCTATCTCTTCCTGCCTGGCTTTATTAATAATACAAACTTAAAATCAGACTTCTCCTTCCAAGTCTTGTTCAGTCTTTCACCAAGCTTTGATCATCTTCCCTTAATGTCTTTGCATCCCTTCTCATTTCCTTGCCCCACCTAGTTCAGGCCCTTGTCATCTCACTTGTACACTGACTTCCCAGTTTGCCTCCCTGGCTCACTCTCCATCCCCTCTGATTGACTCAGTAAGCCCCTGCCAAATTAATCTTTCTAAAACACTGCTTCTATTTTGCTGTTCACTGAAATCAGACAGACCGGCTTAGCCACTTACTCATCTGTGTTTCCTCAGATAAATTACTTCTCATCTGTAAAAGGAGGTTAATCAGACCACCTCCTAACATTCTAGTAAAGATGAAACGATTACCCTGGGCTTCTGTCTCCCACCAGTAAAATGAAAGAAACTTCTATTTAATGATCCTCCATTTGTGTATCTTGTCTCCTGTGGGAGAAGGATTATTATGGTAATATTTATGTGTATGTGTGTGCATATTTAAATTTATAAATATTTATAAAGTTATATTTTAATAACTGTTATATAAATATAAATTTATAATATAATTTGAATACCTATATATGTAGACCATATATAATATAATTTTAAATATAATTTATATTTAATGTATAAATATATATGTATAGTTGGGTACCTCCCAGCACTGATTGCCCTGCATGCTTAGTGGGTGATCACTGAATTAGTGTTTAATAAGCAAATCAATTAACTGATTTCCTGCTTAATCTGGTTATTTGAATAGCTGGTAACCATAAGGTGATAAGTTTATCTATTTTAACAGATAACAACTCTAGAATGGAACATGGGAGTGAGTATAAAATAGAAGATATTCCCCTGGGTAATATTTTTCAAAAGATCACTTTATGAACATGGAAAATTTCTCTACTAATCAAGAAAAATAGCAGTTAAAGCATAGCTGCAGGTCAAATACAGGTTACAAAGGTGTTCTATAGGATAACCTGTGACTTCCTTGTCTTTTAAGTACAATGAAAGTATTGTAGCTAAACAAAATCTTTCATCTTCCATTATGCATGAATCATTTCCTTTTTATAGCAGACATATCAGTATACACTTCTCATCTGCTAGAAAACATACCCTACTTCTAAATATTGTTTTCCACTGTTACTTAGATTACAAATAATATTTATATGTGATTCGAGTTGTTTGTTTGAAAAAGCATATAATCTGAAACTTGGTCCCCTTTGTAATTTGACCTGAGAAAATTCACCTCACTGATAGACTAATACATGGTGAGTGAGCTTTTTCTGCAAAACTGCATACAGAAGAAGAAATGGTATTGCCTATTGCCAATTTGGAATGAGTTAATCCTTATTGGAAAATTTGACATTCATCCTTTATGAAATTTTATTATTTTCTTAATAAAGTTGTAAGAACTATAACATGTGTAGGGAATATATAGTGACCCCAGAGGAAAAACTATTAGGCTTAAGTATGACTTAGGAGTTCACCAGATGGTGAAAAAATGGCCCCTTCCTTTCTTTTTCACCATGTGAAATACTTTACATTATTATCTGTGTATAATATTGGCCAGGAAAAAAAGAGATGTCCCACCACACATGTATGTGTGCGTCGTGTGTGTGTTTAGTTATCCCTTATTGTAGGTCTACTATAAATTGGGCATTCTAGTATAGAATTAAATGAGATCATATTTGGGGCACTTGGCACTATGCCAGATACAATTGACGCTCAATAAATGATAGCTGCTAAGATTCCAAAATTTTTTGCCCTTTTTATTGAAAGTTTTAGAAAAAACTTTAATTTCTCACCTTGTTATCTTTTAAGACCCGTTTAGATTTCTTTTAGAACCCTACTTCGTGATTCTTTATGAGTTTGGCTGCATTAATGATGAGCAAGTTGCCTATATTAGTTTGCTAGGGCTGCCAAAACAAAATACTCAACTGAATGACTTAAACAACAAAAATTTATTTTCGTACGTTTCTGGAGGCCAGAAGTCCAAGATCAAAGTGTCAGCAGGTTAGCTTTCTTCTAAGGTCTCTCTCCTTGGCTCGCCTTCTCACTGTGTTCTCACATGGACATTTCCCTATATGCCTGTGCACCCTTGACATCTCTTTGTGTGTCCAAATGGCCTCCTGTTCTGAGGACACCAGTCAGATTGGATTAGGGCCCACCTTAATAGCCTTATTTTAACTTAATCACCTCTTTAAAGGCCCTATCTCCAAATACAGTCAAATTCTGAGATACTGGGGGTTGGGCTTCAACATATGAATCTGGGGGAGGAGGGGCACAATTCAGCCCATAACATTGCCATAAGTAAATTCTTTTCCACTGCGTTTGGGAATAATTATTTTCAAGAATACCAACATGATTAGAAAGTATGGTTCAGGAATTTTAAGGTGTCTTGTAACCACTGAAATGCTATGACTGCAGGATTCTCCATATATGACCTATGTAATGAGTTCATTTTTTGTGCATAGAAAATATTTAAGAGGTCAAGTTTAATGCTTTATAACTTGATATATAATATAAAAAGAAATATGCTCCCTGATAATAGGCTATAATTTTTTTAAAAAATATTTTAGTGTTGATCAATGCTGTATGTGGAAACTTGGAAAAAAAATTAGTGTTGAAAAATACCTATTTATGTCATTCATTGGGCAAGGAGTTAGGAAACATTTACTTATGTACCATAGGTGTATACAAAATCAAATAAAATATTTAACACCTGTGCATCCATTAACACTAGAACAAGGGTTACTGGGAAACCTAGGAACTCCCCTCCCTCAAGGGGCTACTTGGTCTACTTGGGAAAATGCCAGAAATGTCACACAGTGAGCTTATTGAACTGCCAGTTAAACTGCTCAAGGTAGATAAGGAGGATTGTGTGTTCAGAAGAGGACACAACTGCCTCGGAAGCCCAGACTTAAGATTTAGAACTTGTAATGGTTAGCTGCTGTAGTATTGGGAGGAAAGAAAGCAGTATAATCAGAAAAATAGACTCAGAGCTGGTTCACTGCAGCCTTCAGGACAAAGGGAAGGAAAGAGACCCATGAGGAACTACTCTGGCAGCAGAGTAGTGTGGAAAGGGTACTCTGAGAAGGATCTCACTGAGAGCAGTTTCAGAGAATCCCACCTACCCATGGTTTGAGACTAGGACAGTGATGTATTTGACCCTACCAGGAAATTAAGTAGAACTTTGAAACCTAGACCTGTATTTGATGGTAACACCGTTGCTACTATGACTGCAAATGGGACGCTCATGATTGTAAAACACGGGAGTCAGGTACCACTAGGTATTCATGAGAGATCCTTCCCATAAGTGAAATGCAAGGAAAACCTTCATTTACCAAAGGAACAATATCTCAATTCTTTACTTCTTCCCCACCCATAAAGAATATTGTGCTTCCTGTTAAGTGATGATAATGACAAATATGATTGAAATATAACCTGAGGAAATTTCCTGTTTAAAATGTATCTTTATTCTTTTAGGCCTCTTTTTCGTGGAAGTTCAGATGTCGATCAACTAGGAAAAATCTTGGAGTAAGTAATAACTATAATTTTATATCAGCATCTGCAGCATTCAGACATGTACAGTGACTTTCCTCTGACGTTCATGTAATATGTTTCTCTCTTGTCTTTCTTACCCCAAGCTGCTGCTGCAGACAGTGTTACTGTTTGTGTGGTGAGTGGGGACGTGGTGGAAGTGCTCTTTGTGTGCAGAGCCCATCAAGACGTGGGCCTGACTGCTCTGCTCTGGAAGCCTGTGTGTTGCTTGGGTGGATCTTTTTGCTGCTCCTCTTTTTTCTTGGCTGAGCTCCAGTTCTTTAGTTCAGATATGTCCTCTGCTTGTGGCCATTTCAAATGTACCCACCATTAGAGCGGGACACTTGGTGGCCTCGTAACCCATCCTTGTCCAGTGCGCTTCCTGTCCCCATTGAGTCTCCTCAATCATCCAGATGGTTCTGCATTGTTGTGTTTTGTTTTCCTGGGCCAAGGATGGAATGCTACACATCGCATTTTTCTTTGGAGCTCCAACATAGGGAAATGAGAATCCTGGGTTCTGATCCTAAGTCCGTGGCTAAATAACTATGCAAGCTTGAGAAAGTTATTTAAAACACCCTGTGAAAGGCTTACACAGTGCCTGACACATAATAAGTGCTTTAAACATGTTAGCTGTTATTATTATAATTCATCATTAATTATATAACCTTTTTGTTCCCTTAACCTCCTCATCTGAGAAATGAAACATGAAACTCTGGTTTAAATTCTCTATAAGATCCTTTCTTGTGCTCAAATTCTTTGGTTCCCATTGTCGGTTCCATAGCTCCTCGATGATTTGCATTGTTTCATTCATGTCTACATGTTTGTGCATGTGAGGGTGTGTATGCTTTGATGTTTCTAGAATGTAGCTGGGGCATTTCTTCTCACAAAGCATGCAGTATGGCATCCCTTTTTGGATTTGTGTGTTTGCCAAGCCTATTGGAATTGGGGTGGAGTAGGAAGAAAATGGGAGTTCTAAACCAAAAATAGCCGTGATCACTGGTCTGTGACATTTTATAAGAATCTCAGTGATTTTCATGAAATTTGAAGTCTGTAAGGCTACAAAAAAGTGCTTCTAAAAAACAGAATTATATTTCAGCACTATCAAGCATGACTGCTTAAAACGGTTAATAAAACTGGAACCTGACTTTGTTCTCTTGGTGACTTAGAAGCAGCTCCAATAGACTTCTGTTAGTGCCAATGCTGCCGCTGAGTCAGAACCCAGTGGCTTCAAGGCCTAAAGAACATTTGCTAGGTTTTTTTTTTTTTTTGGTCTGGGAACTTCCAGGATCCAGGGCAGCTGATACTGCTGCTGCTACTACTGACCACCCTGTGCAATGAATAAATTCAACACAGAGCCTTCATATTACCCCTGCTTCCAAATGGCAAGTTCTTTGATCATTCAGTGATGAAATTCCCTCTATTTTTCCCCATGACTGTTGAATATATTTTGTGTTCATGTGATCTTAAAGAGGGAACTGGGGAAGTCACACATACCAGTGGCACTCTGATAAAAGGAAAGGTAATCTTTACTACAGTCAGCTTGCCGGGCACTGAAGGCCGTCACCTTCTTTCCCTGACTTATACCACCTGGGAGTTGTGTCCACCTCCAGCACGGATGTCTGCAATCTTGGTAACACTGTCAGCACCCCTTAGTACATGAAGCCAGTGAAATGGACCAGAAGGAACATTTGACCAGCATGTTTGACTTGCTTCCAAGGAAAAGCCAGTTCCACTTTGGGCAAAAGCCTGACAATCCTAAGTTGCCAGCAGAAGAGAAGCCATAAAGTTCTATGCTTTGTGCCTTTACATTTTACTTTATGGTTTCTGGCATCGGGTCATTGAAATTATGTCCACTTTCTTCTGAATGCATTACCTTGCCAGAGAAAAGGGACAATGCTGCACCCTAGTGTCACTGCTAAAGTACTTGAAAAATTATTTTGGTCTCCACCATCATTGCCATTTATAGATTTTTGTGCCCTGTCCGTCTTTCCAGTTTAAATGTCAGCTTTTAAGGCTTATATTCAGCTGTCCAAATAGTGAAATTTGATGCAAGCACTTTTTAATGGACCTATCAGAATTTCACAGTGCTCATATATGGGCCACAAAAATTCATATTGGACATGAAACTGAGTTGTTTTTTTTTTTTAAAGGAAAGCCAAATTCATATACTCTTAAAGAGAAAAACATTTCTGTGTTTAAAAAGACTTAAACTTTCAAATAAAAGCAAGTAACTTTGAAAGTGAAACAATGGCTTTAGCCCATGACATTTTACAGCATTTTCAGGAGCAATATCCTAGTAAATGGAAATAAACTACTGGAATAGGGAGAACTGGGTTCACTCTGGACTCTATGACTAACTCACTACGTGTGACTTTAGTAGTCCATTTTATTCCTCATTCTGTTTCCCCACCTATAAAATAGGAATAATATACCTGACCTACATGTCTCAGGAGGTCTTTACAGGAATCAGAGGTGATAGACTTAATGTTGTATCTATAGATAGATAGATAGATATGAACAGTTATGTATGTATTTATACACATAGACACAGAGACCTACTGTATCTCTGAAGGCTTTTGGCATTCAGTTGACCATATTTGTAAGATTTAATTCAATATAGCTATATTGAAAGCTGCAAATAATAAGATTTTAAATTATTTCTAAGAGTTGTTATAATCAATTTCTAGGTGACTGGTGATGATATGCAAAAATATTTGTATAAAAAGTGGCTCATGTAATTGGAGGCCGCTGAGGCAGGAGGATTGCTTGAGGTCAGGAGGTGGAAACCAGCCTGGGCAATATAATGAGACCTCATCTACACAAAAAGTAAAAAATTAGTCAGGCACAGTGGCATGCACCTGTAGTCTCAGCTACTGGAGAGGCTGAAGCAGAAGGATCATTTGAGCCCAGGAGTTGAAGGTTGTAGTCAGCTATGATCACACCACTGCACCGTATCCTGGGCAACAGAGCGAGACCCAGTCTCTGTAAAAAATAGATAAATAAATAAAATTAAAATGGCTAAAAGCTAAGAAGGAATAAAAGAAAATGTTAAAAGGTCCTTAATATTGTTCTTTGCTTCCTCTGCCCTGTCCCATTCTGTCCAAACACATGCACATGCATTTCCTTTCATAATTAATAGTGGTATTTTACTTTTTACTTCTTTTTACTCCTGTTGCAGACTTTGCTGTTAAACAAATTTATATATTGGTCAAGTTGTCATTACTCTTCATTGGGTCCAGAGAATATGTCTGTGAGTCTGTCTTGGTCTACCTTCAGTAAATAATGTGGCTCTCTAAGGATGTCTGACGGAGGCAAAATTGTAGTATCTTGCCCCTCCAGACACCCAGGCATAGGTACAGTGATAACAGGAGTATCTCCTCTTCCCAAGTGAGGTCTGAGGCCTGGTAGGTTTAGGTAAGGGAAAGGGGAACAAAGCCCTACAGATCCTGGGACATTTACCAACATGTCTTTGTGAAACCTGGATATACATTCATGAGAATACCCCTTTGTGAGCCTTAGTCCCAGTGAGTGCAGGCCAAGAAGACCCTAACGTAGGCCAGCACCATTTCTAACTATAGTTAAACTAGTTTGGGCCAGTACTTGAATGGCTATATATCCTGTCCATTAAATGATGGGTTTTTTTTTTAGTTCAGAGTTATCCAGAGTCTGTATGAAAAATAAGTTTCTGCATCTTCTGATTTCCCTTGTTCAAATCTACTTACCATTTATACATAAACTATAAATATCTATGTAATGTATAAATTATATAGGGCCACTGATCCATTAATATTTTCGAAGAACCTTAAGTTATATATAAATAGGATCCAAACACTTCATATTTTTAATGTGGTAGTGATGTATTCCCTATGCATCTTGGATTAATAACATTATTTTCTAATTATGATAAGTAATATATTGATATTGATTGTGTATACTGTGTGTCAGGTACTGTGCTATGTATTTTATGTAAATTATGAATTTATATATAAATTTACATAAATTATAACTGATCCTCATTATAACTATAAATTGTCATAATTGTATACATAAAGACAGAGAGGGTCATCAATATTAAGCAATTTGCCCTTCTCTACAGGTTTAGAATTTAAAGCCAAGTCTGCCTATTTCCAAAGCCTGTGCTCTTTTTATCATTTGCTGTTCTTTTCACATTTCTGATCCCAGATGGTTTTCAGAGGAAACATAAATGGTACTCCTTCAATTTATTGTTTGCTCACTTTGGAATACCATAGACTTCCTTTATAAAATAGTGTGTGCATAAAACAGGACTAACATACCTTTTAGCCTCATTTTTCTGTCTGATTCTAATGTATGTAATTACTGTTCAGGGAATTACTCTATAACTGAAAATGCAACCAGATTGCTGTGTTAATAGACCATGTTGGATGAGCATCATAGAAGCATGTCAACACAGGAGTGTTTGTTCAGAACATAAAAAGCACTCTTAGGCATACAGGAGGGTATATCAACATGGGTCTCTTTTCAATACAGTAGGTCCTGCTTTGTAAGTCAGAGCTTACCACCTGGTAATATATTTTCCATTATCTCTTACATTTAGTATCTGCTGCCAGAGCACTCTCTTCTCCCTTCCCAGTGAATTTTACAGTTCTTCTGTGAGATTACCCTATACCCTATGACCACCATATTGCAGGAGGACACAGATCAATGAGAGACCCTACCAGTCATAAAGTGGAGGTTTTCTTGGAGTCTCTACCCCATGCCTGCCCCTTAGATTTTGCCTTTCTCTAGAATTTGGTGAGAAAACAGCTTCCACATAACAGCTAATACTCATGTCCATGTGTGTGTTTTTTTGTAGCGTAATTGGACTCCCAGGAGAAGAGGACTGGCCTAGAGACGTTGCCCTTCCCAGGCAAGCATTTCATTCAAAATCTGCCCAACCAATTGAGAAGTTTGTAACAGATATTGATGAACTAGGCAAAGACCTACTTCTGGTAAGTTCAGGCGATGCAGAGATGGTCTGTGCTGTGCCGAGAGACTTGCCCTGTCCAGACTGCACAAATAGCAGTTCAGCGACTGCTGCAGGCATTGTGTGCCCCAGCCACATAGGGCAGGAGGCTACAGTCTCTCCATAGGTTTCAGTTCCATACTTGTAGCAGCTGGTGGCTTTTGATTCCGGAATGTCTTTCTGATCTCTTTAAATCCGCCATCTTTGAATGTTTATTTCAATGCAGGCTTTGAAGCCTCTTGATTCACTTGGACTTATGTTTCTTTAGAAGTAAATATTATGTTTCCTTATTTACAGTTTCATGACACTTTAAGCAACTTGACATTTTCATGTGCCTTTTCTTAAATAGTCACAACTTTGGGAAGATTTTTTCCAAAGAAACTATATAGTAATACTTGTAGTTACTGGTTTATTTAATAAGTATTTCATGTGCCATGCACATATAAAATACCTCACTGAAAATAAGGACTTCTGTGTTCTGATTGAGACTCAAACTCATAATATTTGACCTTGTACATAATTTCCTGTACTTGGAGGCCAGACCAATAGGTAGAATAGTGTACCTAATGGGCTGTTTTTGGTGTCTGGAACTCAATAAATAATGAGCGTATCCTTTACCTCCTGACTTTACAGCCTCTGATATCTGCTTCAGCCTGTGGGTCAAGTAGAGGTCTTCTCCATGTTTCTTATTCTGGGGTCGCACCAAAGAGGCCGCGGCTCTTTGAGCATGTTTTTCTCCTGGTAGAAGGTGGATATTCCCAGAAGGGCAAGCAGAAATATACGATGCCCCGGAATGCCTGGGCCTGGGAGAAGCATCTGGCCACTTGTGCCCACATTCCCCTGCCCAGAGCAAGTTCTGTGGCCAAGGAGGAAAGGTGGAGGAAAGAATGCTCCTCCCTTGGAAGGAGAGAAGAGAAGAGAATCTATACTAAAAATTATCCAGTCTACCATAGTATACAACTCTTGACTAGGTTGTGACTCTAAAAGTTCATTTTATGAGTCAATTATTTGCCAATCAAATGAAATTTTCTTGCAGAAACAATATGATTGCCCAAGGTTTTTGAATTAATTCTCAAGCCAGCTACCTTGTTCCTAAAGAAGAACAGTTACAGAACCTAACCACCTTTTCTAACAATATTTCTGTAGGACAAAATGTATTAAGACTTCCAACTTGAGATTCTCACACGTGCCCCCATATTTGGCTAAGAAGTTCTCTTTCTCGCCACCCTCTTCCCAGCTTTAAGCTATCAGTACGGATGTGAGGAAAGGGCTTCCTCCCACATAGTCCTCTAGGGACATGTCTCTGTATCATGGACATATTCCCACAAGTCTTCTCTTTCCTTTGTTCTGGAGATTAAAGTGGTTGCTTCCTTTTCTAATGCCACTGCCTAATTTTTTCTGGGAAGAGAAACTCCTGTCCTTTGGGAATTTAGTCCTTGCAAAGCTTTTCTAAAGATGTTCGTTGCTGTTAGAGACAGTGGAACCATTCTACAAACAAGCTCTTTCCTCTGCTTGCCCTTTAGCATTTTGATTTGACTCTATAGGGAGGCTGGCACCCATGGCCTGGTAGGGAGCTCAGGATAAATAAGATTTCAAGGGACCCAAAAATCGCCTGAAATTTTATGTAGAACTTTCTATTTGTACTTGTTTTTCTCAGTCAGTAGCTTTCAAGAGAATATTAGAGGGGTCCCTAATCCAGTGAGAACCTGACTAGGCCTGGGAGCAGGAACCAAGATTAGGTAGAAGAGGTCTGCATAAGTCATAATAATGCAAAGTCTTTAGATTACACAGAGGACGGAAATTCATAGATGTTTCATTTACCTACCTCATTTCAGTGGACATTGCATCATAAGAATGGAGAAGCTCGGATAGCTTCCCTGCTACTTGTGAGTTCCTGGGGCAATGGTTGGGTCTTACCTCTGTGGATTACTGTTTGCCACCTGCCAGGTGCTCAGCAGGAGGTGTTAATGGAAGGAGAGGAGGAAGAGGATTTAAGGAACAAGATTACCTGGGGTAGAGAGTAGAATTGAGACTGAGATTAGGGACACATTCTGACTAATTTGACATTTTTAGAATGGAGATTGCTGCTGCTCCAAAAGTTCCCCTTTCCCTCCTTTCACTTTATACCTCAGTAGCCCAGCCAGACTGCCCCAACCACTGGACTAGGACCCGGAGCTCCTTAAGTGCAAGGACAAGCCGTTCACCGTAGTATCCCTACACTTGAGCTGTCAGCCTAATTCAACTTGAATTGAATCTAACGGACTCCTGGTAGGGCTGCTGCTAGCCCACGTGGCAACTTGATATGAATTAGAAGGCATTCCTGCCTCTGGGTTGTGCAGCTTTGGGGCAGAGTAAGAAGTTACACTATCTAAATAAAGACATATGCATACTGCAATGATAATAAAAATATTTTTAAGGGACCTGGGGTGGCTTGGAGAAAAATCCTGGGTAGGCAACAGCCCACAGTCACCCAAAAGGTGTGGCCTTTTCCTGAGAGGCAGTTTACACATTAAGGTCATATATAAGGTGAGTACTGTCTACATAGTATTTAATGTCCCTTGAAGTAAATATTCATTCTCATTGTAGATACACTTAATACATGACAGTGAATAGATAACTATGTAAGCACGTTATTTACATTGACACGTTTTATATCAGTCAATTATCTTTTCTTTATTACAGAAGTGTTTGACATTTAATCCAGCCAAAAGAATATCTGCCTACAGTGCCCTGTCTCACCCATACTTCCAGGACCTGGAGAGGTGCAAGGAGAACCTGGATTCCCACCTGCCACCTAGCCAGAACACCTCGGAGCTGAACACAGCCTGAGGTCTCAGCAGCTGCCTTGAGCTGATCTTCTGCAGAACACCCTTGGTGGCTGATGTTCCCCCTGAGCTAGCCCTGCAGAGCTGTTAAGGGTCACTGTCTGGAGGCTTTCCAGCTACTGTCTTCTGGATGGGCTCTGCTTCTCCAAGGAAACCGCCTAGTTTACTGTTTTGAAATCAATGCAAGAGTGATTGCAGCTTTATGTTCATTTGTTTGTTTGTTTGTCTGTTTGTTTCAAGAACCTGGAAAAATTCCAGAAGAAGAGAAGCTGCTGACCAATTGTGCTGCCATTTCATTTTGCTAACCTTGAATGCTGCCAGTGTGAAGTGGTAATCCAGGCACAGCTGAGTTATGATGTAATCTCTCTGCAGCTGCCGGGCCTGACTTGGTACTTTTGAGCGTGTGTGTGTGTGTGTGTGTGTGTGTGTGTGTGTGTGTGTGTGAGTGAGAGATTCTGTGATCCCTTAAAGTGTTACTTTTTGTAAACGATAAGAATATTTTAAAAACTCAAGGCGACCTATAAAATAGCAAGCATTTGTTCACTGAAGGTGATTGACCAGAATGGTCTTCTGAAATTAGAAAGTTGAACCACGTCCTCAGCATTTCTTTTCTGGCCAAAAGTAGTAAGTTTGCTAGCAGTAAAAGGTGACGTTTTATACACACAGCAAAAAGGAAAAAAAAAATTCTAATGTCTTTTAAGATACCTGTTTTTTTTTTTTTAAAGTATGCGTTCTATTTAGTCTTCAAAAAGCTGAATTTACTTGTAATAAGTCTTTTTCAACCTTCTGTATAATATCATGCTTTATTATTTCTTTTGGAAAATACCCTATAAGCTTTTTATTACTTGCTATAGATTTAGGGAACGTACCTCAAATAGGTAAAAAAAAAAAAAAAAAATAGAGAAAGCCTTTATTTCCTGGTTCGAAATTCTTTTTTGTTGTTGTTGTTGTTGTTGTTTTTGTTGTTATTTTTTGTTTTTAGGAATTTGTCAGAAACTATTTTCTGTCTTGGTTTGGAGAGTAGTTTCTGACTCTAGAGACAGAAATGCCATTTAAATTTTCCTCACCTATTACACTGTACTTTCTACCATGCACTGCCTTGTTGGCAAAGCATCCATCTTCTCTGTCTCCCAGTGCCTCTAATATATATCGTGACCATTACATAACTCATAACGGATTGCTTAAATTCTTTCCATGGACCACCCGCTTGCTTGCTTTCAATGACCCTTTCATAAATTTGCAATTTCAGATTATGGTTTGTGGCCCCAGTTCTGCACTCCTAACAGGGGCCCGTATGTTCTAACTAATGCAATCTTCCTACCTGGCATTCAGTATAGTTACCTAGGCAATGAGTAGGACACTTGTTCTGCCTTATCACCAGCACATAGATTGCTATAAACTGTTGCTTTGTGTTTTACATTTTTATAGGAGATATTGTCAGTGTAGTGTCTGAGGGAATGTCTTTAACTGTGTTTTAGTGATACACATTTACTCTATAAAATGATCTTTTCACCATCCCCCAGGCTGTGCTTGTTTCTAGTGCCTTGTACTCACTCCTCTCCGCAGAACCAGCCTGACCTGGGCATTGTAAACAACTTTACTTTTTCTCTTGCCCTTTTTTCTACCGTCCTTTATCTTTCATACCATCTCTGCCATGTACGTTATTTAGTGCTCACTTGGCTCTAGTAGCCAGAAGACATAGCAATTATCTTGCAGGAAGTTTAGCTACCTTTACTTTCTGTTGTGAGTGCATGCAACAGATAGATCATGTTTAGAGTTAGGATTTTCAAAGAATAGGCATTGCTTCACTCAGTAGAAAATATTTCAGATGATGTTTATGCATTATCACGTTTTTACTGAATTCTTCACAGCTTAATATTGTATATGATTGTCTTGAACAAGAGAAAAAAATTAGGAGATGTTTCTCTCCTTTAGAACTTTTTGGGTTGGGAATTATTCTTTTTTTAATACATACATTGTTTAACATTGTTTTCATTCAGTAGCTTGAGGAACAGGAAAATTTTTCTAAAGCAAGATAATAAAGAAGATGGGCCATAAGAATATTTTACACTTTCATTGTGACAACACTGATTACTTATTGTCAGTACTGTAAATGCTTGAGATATAATGCATTGAGGGCAAGGTATACTCAAAGTCTCAACCTGGAAAAGTGAGTTCCACCCTTCCTTTGATCGAGGGTCAAAACACAAAGACATTTTTGCTGGGGCCTAGAAATTGAATTTGAAACCTCACTACACTGATTCATCATGAGCTTTTTGGTTAGTATTCATGGCTAGAGTGAATAAAACAAGTTACTGCTTTTGCAAAAGTTTTTTTCATAAGTTCACTCCAGAAAAATGCAGCTGTTCTGAACTGGAATTTTTCAGCATTCTTTAGAATTTTGAACAAGTAGAGAGCTCAACTTTTATTTCTAGCATCTGCTTTTGGCTCATTTCTAAGTAGCGCTTGTAAAAAAAAAATTAAAGCACAACATTTGGCATTAGATTCTAGGCAGATTATCCTCTGATGACACAGAATAAAAGGGCATCTCAGCCTCTCCGAACTTTTTTTAAGAGTCTGTCCCCAGCTCTTCCATCAGTGTGGTTGTTACACTTGAGTGAATACTCTCTCGATGTATGTGTTTTACATCCAGACTCACCACTTCTGAAATCCAGATCCCACACAAGCAGTTGTACCTTTAAGCGCACTTTGAAGCATGTAGTAGAATAAGAACTTACTGAATATAGCTTATTCTTCTGTGACACATGGTTTCAAACATCTTTGCCAAAAGCCAGGCAGTGGTTAACTGAAAAGGTCATACTGCCCCAGGGTTATACTGAAGCAGCATATAGCAAGTAAAAATATTGTGATAGATTCGAAGTCACATTTGAATTTCATACTAGGACTAGTGCAAGAATGTGCCTGCTAGTTCTGGCAGCCCAGGCATTTTAGGAACTGTTGGTGCAGAGTGGAGTTGAAACAACCTACATATACAAAGAGAAAGCTGTTCGTTTAGTTATCATAAGCAATCACATGACAAAGGGTAATAATGACCTAATCTTAAAAACACAATTTCCAAGAGTTTGTAAGAACCCAATGGGTTAGAGCCTCCCACTTTGTCCCTCGTTTGAAGTGTATGGGAACTCAAGGTTTAAAGAACCTGTTTTGGAAGAAAGCTAGGGCCATTTCAACACCCTATATTCTCATGACTTTATCTCAGGAAGCACACACTGTGAATGGCAGGCTTTTTGTTTAGGCCCAGGTGACTTGCTAAAAATAGTTCAAAATTATTCACCTAAGAATAGAATCTCAGCATTTTAGTTTTAAGTAAAAATGAAAATTTCAGGATGCATAGGATATTAGTGTCTCAAAGAAAATGTTTTTCTTTTAATAGAGAAATTTGTAGTTTGACTCCAGAATGTGGTACTATCCATCTTGATGAGAAGACTCTTAAATAGTGCCAAACAATTTGAACTTAAAATTATGTCCTTAAATTGAGTTTTAAGTAACCATAATGGCTTCTTTTAAAAGTGGTGCATGTTAAAGCCAGTAATGGCAATTCTTGTTCCATTATGGAAAATTAAATCATGTAAAGAATTTTAATATGTTTATGATATCACAAAATTCTGTCCAAAGAATTGCTTTTCTTTTAAGTGACAACTTGACTATTTTTAGATAAGTACATGAGAGAGCTCACATTTTCCAAGCACGGGCTTTTGTTGTATGGTTGGGTCTAGGGAAAGAATAATGTTACAAGTTAATGTGCCACCGTAGTTACTTGTGTTAGTACAGAAACTACAGAGTACTTACCTTGGAAAGAAAATATTGAAATATCATTATAAATTCTTAAATATTGGTAGAATTCAAAAGAATGCATGTTTTACATTGTGACAGCTAAAAATAAAGATGTTACATGATTTCTAAATCTTTAAAAGTTATCCATAAAACAGTGTGCAATGGATAGAGAAAATTCTGGAGAAAATGAAGGTATTCAAAGGGTAGTTTCAAAGCTACATATATTTTGAAGGATATATTTTTAATTAACAAATATATTATAAGAATTTATGTTAAAGTCACCTGGCAACTATGGACTTGATATGTTCAAAAACAAATTTCACGGAGAAGCCATTCCAAACACAGTTACCATTTCAAAGATTGGGCTAAGCAAACTAAACCCGTATTTTTTCTCATTTCAAGGGAAGAAGAAGCCATGTGAAGCTACACTTGGTATACAAGCCTAAGAGTGTTCATTGTAAAAAGATAAAACAAATTTTAAAAAGGCATGTGTTCCCTGTGCCACTCTTACTTTTGAAAAATTGTGGATCTTGCCCAAAACCAATTACCATGTGCATTAAATACATTCAGATAAATAATTAGGAAAATACTTACATGTTCCTTCTCCACAATAGAAAAACTTGTTGAAGCTGCCAAAATCTGCCAAGAAATATAAGTCCTCAGAAATAATGAGAAATGGTGTTTTCCTCAAAAGCATGAGAAAATAGCATTTTCATTTCTTATTGGATTCTCTGTTATATCAATGCAATTTTCAACCCAATTTTGATACATACCTATATCTTAAGCATTTCTAACTTGTACTTTTTCAGGAAATAAACCGAAAATATTCCTTTGGCCTTCTCTATCTTCTGACCTTTGTAAACAACAAAAATACAGAAACAGAAAGGGTCCAATTTTTAAATTTTTTTCTTCAACTGGTCTTTTTGCTTTTGGGTTTTTTTTTTTTTTTCTTCATGAAGTACCAATTGGCTTTTCAAAATGTTTTCTATTTCTTAGCATTCCCAGGGAGTTAGTGTAGCTAAATGAATGGGCTTCCATCAACGTAGTGTGTTTCCTTGATACTGGTGCTCCGGCCTTTAGAAGAAAACGAGAGCCACCTGAAAATATATAGGCTTTTTTCCAAGCATCCATTTAAATACTGTTACAGCAATTTGAAGTTAATATGGTAAGAAAGGGAGGTAGGTGTTTTTTCTTGCAAAAGTCTGTTTTAAAATCCATGCTGTTCTAAGAAATGGGCTTTCTTGTTTTATTCCAGTATATTCCACAAGGTGGCAGTTTCAGAGGAAAAACTAAAATCTGACCAAGGCTAAAGACTTCATTCTAACTTCATTTTTCTGCACATATTTAACTTAGCACTTGTTTTTCAGGATGATTAATAATCTTCATAATGTGCTGTAACTTAGATATTTTACTTATTAGCTAGGTTCTGAGCAATTATCTGCAAATAAATTGTGCTTACGGGTGGATAATAGACCCATTTTGATCATGTAAGTGAGTAAAGAAAGCTTAAGTATTCATTTATTCAAGGAACATTTTTGAGGTACCTAATTACCTCACTTTTCCAGGTTAGGACAGGCTTGCTTCCTATAAAGGCAGCCCTCATCTGTGAACAGGATAGTTTTGTTAGGAATATAAAACAACTCCAGTGGCCCCAGTTAAAACACTCATACCCTGTCTGCTGCTTTCACGTTCCCTACCATGGTGGCTTTTTGACACTGCTGAAATTTTAAAATCCTAATTTAGAAAAAATCAGACGAGCAAACTAAGCAGCAAATCAGTTATTCAATAGGCAAAATCTTTTCTAGAGAATTGCTGTATTGAAACAGGACCCTGAACGACCTACTAATTTTTGAATTTGTATAATCACAAATGTAAAT